ATGCTGGCTGGGGAATTCTGGGAGTTGAAGTCCACTCATCTTAAAGTGGTCAAGTTTGGACAACACTGGCATAGCAAGACGAAGGGGCCTTGCTAGGAGCCAGTCACCTGAGAAAAGCTGGGGCAACATCTGGACCACTGCCTCTAGCTGGGTGTGCTTCACGGCCAGTTCTCGTAGCTGCTGTAAGCTCCGAAAAGAATCGATGCATGATGCCAGTTCCTTCTGTACATTCCCCAGCTCTTGTTGTACATGTTGGGCATCTGCGAGGGCAGAATGCAGCTCCTCCAAGCCTGTGCTCATGCCCTCCAGGTAGGACTGAAGAGTGCACTAGAGGCAAAGCCAGATGTAAGTGATTACAGTTTATGGGCAATGTAAAAGACAGACCCACATTTAGCTTCCTCCTTCTTTCTTTTCTGCCTCCTCCCTTTTATTTTTATAGTTCATGTTCATAAACTCCTTAGATTTTGGTTAAAGAAAAAGATATGTGTGTGCACCGTTTAAGTACAGTAACTAAATAAATGTGTTTGAAGGCTTGATCCCAAGAATAAAAATAAATGGATAAGGAGTATGTTTTGAGGGATCCCTGTGTAAGCACCCGGTTCCTGCCAATCTTAGAAAGTCTTGGAGAGATTGAGCATTAGATAAAACCTCATCCTGAATAAGAGGACAATTTCTGAGTACCTTATTTTTTATTGAAACTTTTAAAAGAGAAGATAAAAACTAATACAAACTAATGTCAAGTAAAAGAAGAAGAAAAGAGAAAAAGAAAGAAAGCAAAGAGAAAGTAAAAAGTGCAAGGAAAGAAAAAAGTGAAAGAAAAATAGAGAAAAAGATAGAAACAGTGGCTTTTGATATTCTTCACAGCAGTTATAAGTACAATGATATTTTAACCTCTCTCTCTAAAGTCACATCATAATACTCTTCTTTCTATAATCAATCCTATCTAATCATCAAAACCATAAATCACAAGTTCATTTTTTTCCATTTTTACACAAGTTCATAAGAGGCTTCTAGTCACCAATAAACATAGTGTCTTTTCTCTAATCAAAGAAGTTAGTTTATCATCTCAGCAAGATCTGTCAGTTTCACCAACCATTTCTCCATAGTAGGTAGTGTCGAATAATTTCTGGGTACTTTAAGAAGGATTCAAACCAACCAGAAACAAACTGGGACAGGTTTGTTCCATAAAAGGCAACAAATATGATCTTGGGACTATAAACTAATTCCAACCAGAAAGACTAAAGGAACAAGCTATGCTTAGCCTGGAAAAAAATTAAACTCAATACAGGTAGTCCTCATTTAGCGATTGCCTTGTTTAGCGACTATTTGCAGTTACGATGGTGATAAAAAAGTAACTTTATGACCAATTCTCACATTTCTGACCTTCACAGGTCTCTAAAGCAAAGGAAAGCTGAAGTAAGATCATAAGCACAGTCGAGGTTTCACTTAGCGCCACTTTGCTTAACAACCAAGTTGCCAGTCCCAATTGTGGTTGCTAAATGAGGACGACCTGTAGAGCTTGTCAAATAACTGTAGGGATCATACAGGAGAAGACTGCAATTCATTCTGGAGTGCAAGGCATGGAAAAAGCTCTTAAGTTACAGAAAAGCAGATTTGGGTTGACTGTTAAGAAAACTTTCTGATAATAAAAGTCTGACAGTGGAAGCAATGATGGAGGGAAACAGTGACTAAGATTTCTTTCTCTGGATGGGTGCAATCAGAGATTGGATAGCCATCTGTTGGGGGAGTGTTAACAGAGGCATCTGTGAGAGGGGTCGGGGGGAAACAGAAACAGTATCGTGCTGTTGCGACCCAAACTCTGCCCCTATTATAGTGGGTTATAATGCATCTGTGCTCTAATTTAGCTTCCCCTATTGGGCGGGGGGTTGGACTTGAAGCCTTAGAAGACTTCTTCCAACGGTCTTGGTCCACGATTCTATGCGGTTACCCTGCCACGGTTACCCACCTTTATGCGGGACTGGATGAATCTGTTGCGCTGCCTCTCCCGAATCTGATACTGCCCGAGACCACCCAGCTTGTCTGGTCGGTAAAACACCCCAGATGCCCACTTTAAGGCAGCCCCTCTGGCTAGCTTCTCTGCTTTTTCCAGTTCTGGCCATTCCCCATCTAAGGCAACAAAAATGAAATGAAATGAAATGAAATTCCAGGCCGTGTGTCTTTAACCAGACAGGAATATCTCATCCAAGGATGCAGGAAGGAAACAGGAAGTGAATGCATAACTTCGCAGCTGATGGGCCAAAGGGAACAACCGTTGGCTGTGGTTCCTGAGTCTTGAAACGTGAAGGGTCCCTGTGGGAGGGGTTCCTGGCTACACAGATGAGGCTGTTTTTTAGGGGGGCTTGGGGGAGAAGGTGACTGTAGAGTTGAAGCTATTCCCACCATGGTAAGAATGCAATGAAAATGCAGACTCCCAGGACTGGTCAGACAAGCAGGACCCCAAAGAGAATTAAATGATAGGCCTGGTGTCAATATATCTGGGATGACCAAAGTTTATCGGGACCTGCTCGGGCTGAGTTGTCCCTCAACAAAAAATTTTAAAGTGCGAGATGGAGGAGGTTTGTGGAACGACACCAAATTAAAGTATGTCGAACTTTCCATTCCAGTATAAATCAGATTCCGCTTTTGCCCTGGCCCCAGCCACTAAGTTTTGGAACCGGGTTCCTGCCCACCCCTCTAATGAATCCAATTACCTTATTGCTGTTCCTGCTACGGGAAACTGAAAAGGAGGAAGAAGGCAGATCGACATAGGTGGGAGACTTGTGTATTCGGCTGAGGCTTACTAGAAAGGGTTACGTATCTCGCTCTGCCCCTAAACAGCCCCCAAGATCTTGACCCTGCATTTCCCGATGGTTACCTCTGGGACTGGTGGAACCGTTGTCCTCTGAAGACATCCCCATGGTTTCAGTTGCAGCAGGAGACACCGGTTCAAAGCTTAGGACTGGACTGGGCTGTGCAGAGGAAGCCGAGGCAGTGATTACGGTTTCCGTCAGTGATCCTATTCCCAGCTCCTCTGGGGCTTGTTCTGTAACACTGCAGCAGATACACTCAGGATGTTGGAATAGGAAGGCGGGGAAAACAGCAAATCTACCGGTCAGTTTCATTCTTAGGGAATGCAGATGAAGCAGCACAAAACAGCTCTGCGCATCAATGCCCCTGCTGGCTTTTGACCACAGCAAGCGTGCACGCATCCTGGTCGCCAGAATCCACACACCTTTCTTATTCTGCTTTGCACAGGCCCTGATGGTAGATACCCTGCAGCTTCTGCATGAACATTTTGTTTATTTCTAAACATTCAGGCCAACTATCGCAGTACTCAAGAGGCTGCGTGGTGGACGTTGCCATTTCTGGAACCTAACACAGCCCGTGGAAACATGTAAATTTCCTCCCTTTTCATTAAGACAAGGGATTCGTGTCCCATGCATTCTATTACCAAATAAATTGAAATACTTCTTTCTTCTCAGACAGGATCATTTAAGCAACCTGAATAGACAAAGCTCCAAAACAGAACCACACACAGTATATAAATAATTTCAGCCAGGCCATTTCTACATAGTTAGAGGTACCTGTGTTGTTTTCTTCACTTCCAGACCATTCTTAGACTGTAGAATTCTGCTTCCCACCCTGAAATGCGGCACAAGATAATTAGCTTGTGGATTGCGATGCCTGGCGTTATCTGGGAATTACATTCCAGACCGTAACTTAATTGCACTGCTATCCAGGCAGATAACCAGCTCTACCCAAGCCACTTGCAACTATCGATTTTCAAGTCAGCCGGAAGCAATTAATGTGTGAGAACACTGATAACTGGAAAACACACATGCTAACAAGGAGAGAGAGAGAGCACACGCAAACTCTTCTGGCGTAGGTGAAAATGCCACACTCCAAGGATGGTGTGTTCACTGCTCTGATGCAAAGGCATTCAGAGAACAAGATTTTGGATTTGTCAGGTATTGCTGTGTTTTAGAAATCTGTTTGGGAAAAGTACTGTGGCTCTGTAATGGTTGCATATAAAGTATTTATCCCTTCTGTTCTGCTTATTTTTGCAACCATTGTATTACATAGATCATCCAGGGTTGGCCGGTGGGAAACAGAATCTGGGGACAAATATCTTGGAAAGAGTGTTCTTCATTAGAAAATGTGCTTATTCCTGAGAAGGAGGCATGCATAAGGGATTGGGCTAAACCCGACGGTGTAACTGACCGCTCTGAGCCCCTGTAATTGACCAATGCTATGACATTTTAACATTTTTGGTTGAAAATCTATTCGGACTGATCTGTGGGGCATTTTGTGGAAAAGAAGAACATTAATTAAATTTTATTAAGAATGGAAAGAAGGATGCCAACGTGGTTCCAAGAAGCGTATCTGCCTTGTGCATGGTGCATCCTCAACCTGACCTGACAGCCTTCACTTGCTGAGTCCTGAATTCCATGTTGATCTAATGGGACAGGAGTTTGGGCCACCCGCTTTTCTTCAGCAGCCCGTGTTTCGTCTCCAAAATACAGCTCACGAGAAACCCTGAGGAGAGTCAGTGGGATACAGCGGTTGAGCTGTGGGGCCAGCCCCAGGAAAACCCAGGTTCAAATCCATCCTCAGCAGCAGAACTTCACTGGGTGACTTGTTCCATTCTGAGTCTTGTTCTCTCAGCCGCACTACTTCACAGGGGCTCTGCTGTGGGCGAGAACTGGGGGCAGGCGCATCGGGTGTGCTGCCATGAGCTCCCTAAAGAAGAGATAGGATATAATCCAAATGGAATAAATAACGAAGGAATGCAAGTCTTTGCCCCTCACCCCACCCCACCCCACCCCACCAATATTTTGGACTACAACTCTCATTAACCTGACAATGGCCAGGCTAAACGTAGCTGCTAGGAGCTGTAGTCCTAATAACTTTGAGCAGACGTTGTTGTTATTATTATTTTTGTGTGTGTGTGTGTGTGTGTGTGTGTGTATGTGTTGCTTTCGAGTCCATATTGATTCCTGGCGACTGCCTGGACTAGTCCCTGCAGTTTTCCTGGCAATGTTTTTCAGAAGTGGTTGCCATTGCCTCCTTCCTAGGGCTGAGAGAGAGTGACTGGCTCACGGTCCCCCAGCTGGCTTCGTGCCCGAGGTGGGACCAGAACTCACAGCCTCCCGGTTTCTAGCCTGGTGCCTTCGCCACTACCCTGTTAGTATCACGATCACTACCATAACTACATTTTTATCCCTCCTTTTGGCCAGCGCTTTGGGCTTCAGCTCTGAGGTCAACAGGCCTCTGGCTATGCCAGTTGGGGGTGATGAGAATTGTATTGCAAAGCAACTGGGCTGGCTGGGGATGATGGGAACTTTGCAACACAGCAGCTGTAGCAGCAGCAAGACACCCGCTTCTTCGCGATCAAGGATAGCAGAGGGCGGGCTCCACCGAGTCTTTTCGTCTCCTGGCCAGTAGGCGTCGCTCGAGAGAGAGAGAGAATATCTCTGCCGGCGGAATGCCGTATAAGAAAAGCCGGTGGAATGGGGCGGGGCTTCGAGAAGAGGGAGGGAAGGCGGCCCGCGAGGTTCCGCCCTTTTTCTCAAGATGGCGCCCCCGCTCCGCCCCTCCCGTCGTGCCCCGCGGCGGCCGGAAGGGGCGGAGGGGGCCAGCGCGCGGGGGCCGCGGCGGAGCGCTGGGATCCGCACACC